GCATCAGAAGTAGGTAGCGTTGTTTTCTCCATGGCATCATTCAATATTGTTGTACCATCTGCATTAAAATCATGAGAAGATATTCAACATTAGTTTTCATCTTAACATTCTTATAGTCTATTAAAAAAATTCAACACAGTATAACCTAAATGTTGTACTAAACTTACAATACGCCTCCATAACGGGAAATTCTGAGGGAACGTCCTCGTTATCGGGCATTTCACTTCGGGGTCGATGTCTCCTCGATCTGGTTGAAAGCAACATTTGCAATGTTGACGAATCATGTCATCGATTTCTATTTTCTATACTACAAAACAAGATTAGAATCTTGAACATTTTGAATTCCTCAAGCGGCACATACGTACCATGAACATCCTGCTTCTGACTAGGCAACAGACCGTCCAAGTTGTTCGGCAACGGACCTTCGGTCTCGATGTCTCCTCCATTTGGTTGAAAACAATATTTGCAATATTAACGTCTCATGTGATCGATTTGTAGTTTGTATACTACAGAACAAAAACAATGCTTAGTAGTTGTAGTGTGTACAAAAGTTCTACATGTACCTGGATGTGAAAATGATGACGGTACAAGATCGTTGTGCACATCGTGCGAGAACGGGTGGATGTCTCATCCAGCTGGTAACGTGTCGATGCATCCACCACCTATTTCAGAATATTTGGAATGACGTGAAGGAGTTGAAGACAGATGCAAAATATAGCATGGATACATATGAGAAGAATAACAACACTGTTCATAATCAATGCACGTACCAGTGTCGTCGAAGCTCGCCTCGGGCAATGTCCAGTCACGATCATCCGGTTCTGGGTGAGTGGCTCCTCCATGTGTGTCTATGTCATAGAAGCAATCATTACACGTGTTGCGAAACACATCTACACTGCTGATAAAATCACATTACACTTAGTAATCGTAACTCGTGAACATGTAACACACATACCGTGCGGTGTAGGTTCTGAATATGTGGCCTGGTTGGGGACGTCATGTGGGGCTGCTGTGCCATTAGTACCACTTGAATTCATGAGTGTAGTTATGAACTCCGTCTGTCTCCTCAATTCAGCTCTCACGTGTTCCATGATTTCAAGTTTAATGGTCCGGAGGCGAATTTCCATAAGGGTTCCTTGATCCAACAACAGTTCCTCGACATCCTCTCTCGTCAGGATTGCTCGTGAAGTGGCACGTTGTCATCGAGATGTCGAAGGTCCACTCTCGTGGGAAGTTTGAATGCTGAGCGACATTGTCTCCACTCTTGTCATCGTTGGACTCGTCTTCATCGACATCTCGACCAGTCTCATCTTCGTCGGAGCCTCCACCCGTCTCATCTTCGTCATTTTCCCCCATAGACAAATGGTCATTATGTCCACTGCCCAATGCCTCTTCGGCAAACTATGGAGCGACCATGTTCCGGGCAATGTCGTCCAAAATGGGCACAGAACGATCTTCATACGGCACGAGAGTGGAGATATATGGTTGGGCAAGCTCGGCTTCAATGGGGCGCAGTGTGGCATTTACGTGCAGCTGCAACCAAAGGAAAATGGCATTAATGAAACATGTAATTGGTGTGCATTAGCAATTAAAATGTATATGGGTGCAGGTTTTAAAAGAGTACCTGTGTGTTCTTGAAGAACACATCGTATGTACGTTGTTGCGGTTGTTTTGTAGCCGTCCAACTTAGAAGCCGAGGCAATCGTTCCCCAACCCGCTGAGCAAACCGTTTTCCAATTTCCGGTATCGGCTCGAATACCCATATCTGTCACAGCAGAAAAGCATTGTCACGTGACATTGCTTGGGCACGACTGTGGATAGATACGTCGAATTAAAATAAAACAATGTCTAAAATAATACTTAGTACCTGCAGCGCGATGGGGAAACCATGAACTATATAGCTAATCTCCTTCTCATTCTTTTTCTTGGTGTCGCGAAATTTTCGTGCCCAGCCACCCTGAAAGCCTTTCAACAGACGATTGTATCCAACTCTACCCCAAGGGTAGGAAAAAAAGAAGTCCAGGTCGTTGACGATTGACAATGTCACCTAAGATATACCCACATTATTATCCGGAGCGTAGAATACTCCTTCAACAATGAGAGCAAGCCCGAGCTTGTACCGATCAGCCCGGGGCGTAGACGATCGGAGCAATGTCTTTTCAAGGTGGGCACATGAAATCTTGTCAAGTGATTTAAAGTATTTTTCCTTAAATCTCTTCTTTTCCAAGACTCGGGTAAAGACATCGCCCTCCGGAAGGAGAGTACATCTTAAGCCCGTAATAACTGCATATTTTTGCAGTTGAAATCGAGTCAAGTGGCCTTGCACATTGAACCACAACTCCTTCACCTTATCCATCCGTATTGATCTAAAGACAAGTTGTTGGAGCAGCTGTGCAGAGAACTGGATGTCTAGGACGTCGGCAAGGAATCAGAGGCATGATTCGCGAAAGTCCCGGAGCTGCTGCCCATCGAAATGGTCCAAGACCCTTTTTACGTACTTAAGGTTGCTCCGCTGTGAAATACGGGCCTGCAACAGTGCGTTTTCAGGTACTTCCCATTCGAAATCCATCTCTTCTATAAGGTACATCAAGAAAAAAAAAGATATGAGATAGTGATTTTTGGTACATGTACATGGCAAGGTAAAGAACAAATTATGAAACAACAATTTTGAATGAATGCGAACACCATATAAAAAAATAAAACGAATATGAACAGTAAT